CTATCTATCTATCTATCTATCTATCTATCTATCTATCTATCTATCTATCTATCTATCTATCTATCTATCGATCGTATGGCACATTCACATTGCAATTCAATATATTAAAAGCACAAAAAATAAAATCCAAGATATAACATATAAAATTTAAAATTATACACTTATGTCTAGATTACAAATATAATTTTTTACTTCATTCGTCACAGCCAGGAAGTCAGCAAAATCTTGTATTAAATCTAAATTTTAATACAATTTTTAAAAATTTTAAATATTAATTAAATTAAAATATTAAAATCTAAATTTTAATACAGTTGATTGATTGATTGATAGATATCATTTTACATGGCCACCCATCTTACCAGTGTGATTCTGGGTGGCTAACAGAAATTAAAATGCAATATAAATATAATCTATGTTTTTTTTTTAAATTAAAAAGCACTGTTCCTAATCAATTAACACAAAGCGGCTCACCAAAACACCATTCACCAATAGCATGGGCTTGATTACTGTCCTGGCCCCCATGTCTCTATGTAATATAGAAGCCTCCATCAGATCACTAGAACTCCTTTTCTACATTAAGAGCAGTTTTTGTGTCTCAACTTGTTCAAATAAAGCTGACCAATCCAGGACCACAAACCTGTTTGGACTGGCTGGCTGGGGAATTCTGAGAGTTGAAGTCCACAAGTTACCAAGGTTGAGGAACCTTGATCTAGTTGCTAATTAGACATTATTTTAAAATATATAGAACAAATATAATTTTAGACAGCTTAGATACATCAGGAAAACTCCTTTTATGCCTCTACATTGATGCTTGAGATTTTAGCTTTCAGAATGTGATTCAGGGAACCCTGGAGTTCTGCTGAGGCTTGTCAGAGATTCTTCAAAGGGAAGATCAGTTACAACAGGCACATTTCATTCAGAGATTGCTTGCCTACTGCTACCAATGTTTTCCTCAATATACCACAATAGGACAGTGGTGGATATATATTTTAGAGGCACTCAGAAGAAATTTAAAGTCCAAGAAAGCTTAAAAAATCACTTGACATGAATGAAGAGTGGGCTTTGGAACACGTCCCCTGACTGTTTATAGCAGTGTCGTCCAAACTTGGCCGCTTTAAGATGAGTGGACTTCAACTCCCAGAATTCCCCAGCCAGGCT